GAGGGGCTGAGGCATGAGAATCACATTGAAACCCATAAGGCAAGAGGTGTGCAGAGTAGCAGGCGATGCCACTGCACTCCAGCCTGGGACAAGGAGTTAGACTCTGTATCAGAAAACATAAAATAGAAGATGTTAAATTGCCAAGACATAGAAGAAGATAAAATAATAAATAAAATAAAATAGACCGTGCTCAGCGGCTCACGACTGCAATCCCAGCACTTTAGGAGGCCAAGAAGCAGGTGGATCATGAGGTCGAGTTTGAGACCAGCCTGGACCAACATGGAGAAACCCCACTCTCTACTAAAAATACAAAAATTTAGCCGGGCGTGGTGGGTGCATGGCTTTATATATATGCATATATATATATATAGCCTCGGGTGAATCAGTAAGATTTACCTGAGATTTTATTTATCCATCCATCTCTATCTATATTGAGAAGAGAGAAAGAATAATTCTTAGCTCTTAGATTTCTTTTATGAGTTATAATGAATACTTTAGAACCTACTATATATGGATCATTTAATACTTAAATTATTATCTTTGTATTTAATATTTAAATGTATTAGATTTTTTAATTTTCCAATAAGCCTCTTCACACCAAATATTTCCTGACATTTTTCTGTCTAATTACACAGGCTTTTGAGATTTCCTTATCATTTTTTCTTACTGAAATCATATTTCACTGCTTGGAAAAGTTTAGTTTAACTTCAAACTTAGGGACTTTATTGTTGGATGTAGTTTTAGAGATAATTCTTTTTTTTTTTTTTTCCAACAGGGTCTCTCTTTGTCACCCAGGTTGCAGTGGCACGATCTTGGCTCACTGCAGCCTTGACTTCGTGAGCTCAAGTCATCCTCCTGCCTCAGCCCCCTAAGTAGCTGGGACTACAGGCACATCATCAGGTCTGCCAATTTTTTTTTTTTTGATGGAGATGGAGTTTCACCATCTTGCCCAGGCTGGTCTTTAACTCCTGGGACCAAGTGATCCGCCCACCTTGGTTCCCAAAGTTCTGGGATCATAGGCATGAGCCTGGTGAGATAATTCTTTTTTAATAATCTGAAGGCTGGGTGCGGTAGCTCACGCCTGTCATCCTAGCACTTTGGGAGGCTGAGGCGGGTGGATAACAAGGTCAAGAGATCAAGACCATCCTGGCCAACATGATGAAACCCCGTTTCTACTAAAAATACAAAATTTAGCTGGGCGTGGTGGCGAGTGCCTGTAGTCCCAGCTACTCGGGAGGCTGAGGCAGGAGAATTCCTTGACCTTGGGAGGCGGAGGTTGCAGTGAGCCGAGATGGTGCCACTGCACTCCAGCCTGGCAACAGAGCAAAAGTCCGTCTTAAAAAAAAAAAAAATCTGAATATTCAATCCAGTAGTAACCATGGGGGTATCTTACTATTTAAAAGCCTATGTCTAGAATCATGGCTATTCATCCTCCTTACATTTTGTTTCCACTCTCTTAGCCCATCCCACTTATGTTGATAAAACATTGCCCTGTCCTAAGGAACACTGATTTTTAGATGGAGATTCTTTACATTTACTGAGCATCTACTATGGTAATACTACAGCTGTACTACGTATGTTATTTTATTTAACCCTTTCAACCTTTTATTTGTTTTAATTTATTTTATTTTATTTTGAGACAGAGTTTCTCTCTTGTTGCCCAGGCTGGAGTACAATGGTGCAATCCCAACTCACTGTAACCTCTGCCTCCCAGGTTCAAGCAATTCTCCTGCCTCAGCCTCTTGAGTAGCTGACATTACAGGCTGCACCACCACGCCCAGCTAATTTTTGTATTTTTAGCAGAGACGGGGTTTCACCATGTTGGCTAGGCTGGTCTCGAACTCCTGACCTCAGGTGATCCACCCGCCTCAGCCTCCCAAAGTGCTTAGATTACAGGTGTGAGCTACCATGCCTGGCCTCAACCATTATTTGAAGTAAATATTATTATATCCATTTTACATGCAGCACATTTAAGTCTCAGAGAAGTTCTGGAAATTTGAACTAAGATCTGCCCGACTTCAAAGCCTATGTTTAAGAGAAAGCATGATTAGGATTTGAATATGAAAACCATGACAGTTATTACTTTAAGACAATGTAGTACAATAGGTAGTACAGTATACTATCGACTTTGGAAATAGATTTTTAAAAATTCACTTCTACCACTTACTAGCTGTGTGATTTGGGCAAATAGGATGAACTTTCTGAACCTGATTCCCATTCTTCCAGTTAAATGCAATAATATATCTGAAGTTCCTGTTTGTTGTAGATGCATTATAAGCCCCTGTATGCACATAACTAAATTTACATAATTTATTTTCATTTAGTTTCTCCTTGTCCATATAATGTTTCCTCAAACAATTCCAGATTAGATTAGCATGATTCTCCTACAAAATGTATGTTTCCTTTAGTCTATCTGTTTTTACTGTTTCAAGACTGTAGTAATTTTTTTTTTTTTGAGACAGGGTCTCACTGTGTTGCCCAGGCTGGAGTGTAGTGGTGCATCCACGGCTCACTGCAACCTCAACCTCTCAGGCTCATGTGATCCTCCCACTTCAGCCTACCAAGTAGCTGGGACCACAGGCATACATACCACCACGCCTGGCTAATGTTTATAATTTTTGTAGAGACAACGTCTCACTATGTTGCCCAGGCTGGCCTCAAACTCCAAGGCTCAAGCAGTTCCTCCACCTTGGCCTCCCAAAGTGCTGGGATTACAGGCGTACGCCACCAGACTGGGCTGATTTTACTTTTTATTTAGACTCCACCAGCTTGCCTGGCATGGATGCCTTTGTTTAGTAGGAGTTACACTGTTGATATATCACCTTAGCATAGAATCCTTTTAAAACAACTATGAATATTTTCCTAGTAATTCTACTCTCACCCTTATATTCTTTCAAAACGTTTAGGTGGATGCCACCTAGTCCTAATTTATGCCTCTGTATGAGCTTTACTCTTCTTAAATCTGTCTTCCACATTACTAGTGTTTTACTTCCCTTGCTAATAATTCTTTAGTTATCCTCTATTAAGTACAGAATGAAATACAAGTTCCTTAGCATGTGATTTAGGATTCTTTTTTATCTTGCCTCTCTTTTATCTTTCCAATCTTATCTCTTATTACATCTTGC